AAAAGTAGGCATTATTTTGTGTTAATTAAAACTTGTTAAACAAATTACTTGCACATTGCGGGAAAAAATGGGACTGTTCTACACCTCACGTTCTACTATGCCGAATGACGAAATTCAAATTGCATTTTCCATGTTTCTAAAGCACGACTTTAGATTTATATATAGCATTGCTCTAACATAGGTATTTGGACACACAATCGGACTTTTTCTGAAATAACATACTAATGTTTTTCCATATTTCGATTCTACGACTCAAATTACTCCTGGATATTAAATTTTGTAATTTTTGACGGAGAAATTTAAAAATTTATCTTGGCACATTTTTTTTCAATTTGAGATAAGAATAATTCACTTGGCGAACTTCTTAATTTATAGCAACCTGTTTTCTTTTCTTTTTGCTATTGTCCACGAGTGGAAAAAGGTCATCGTTCATACTTTCAAATAATTTTAACAAAGCACGTAAACCACATTTTCTTTATTATCGCTTATGATAAATACGCCAAATTTCAAAACATGCCAAATGTAAATTCACGTATATCTTCGGAAATTTTGAATAAAAAATACATCTACTTTAAGATGATGGCAAAAATTGTATAGGCTATAATTCAAAATGTTTTTCAAAAAATTTATAGAAATTACTTAAGAATACAAATTTTAAAAATAAATCATAAAAGATAGGTGAATTTTATTTGGAATGAACCTAAATTTCAAAATGTGAAAAGAAGCATCAAATAAGTTTAATAAAGAAAAGGAGAGATTAATGAATACATACCAAATTCAATTAACATTGAGGAGCTAAACTTTTGAGAGCTAATGTTATAAAAACTACTCGTGCGATTTTTACAAAACTTGGCAGTTTGACATAATTTGAGTCGTAGAATTGAAATATGGAAAACAATTGGCATGTCATTTCAGAAAGGGCCAATTTTGTGTCAAAATACCTATATTAGAAGAATGCTATATATAAATCTAATAGATATCCTAAGGGGTGTTTTCGAGACATGAAAAACGCAAGTTGAATTTCGTCAATCGGCCCAGTAGAACGGCAGATCCTGAGAACGGAAGAACTGTCAACTGCGCCTTTTTGGTTTCGCAGTGTACGTTAAATGCGCATAAACGTATTAATTATAATAAATTTTACAGTGAACCTCAGTAAAACAAAAATATTAGTTGGTTCTTGCGTTATGCTTTATTACGTTAAACAAACATTTAAATATCTTCACGTGAAGCATTTCCAGATATACAGAGCAAGAATTTTCTGACTCAGATAACTTTATCACTGCTAGTCAATAAGCGAATTTAACCAGAATTTTACCAGATTGAGGGAGAAACTATGCAACACACTTTGCTCATTGGGAGACAAATGATTACATATTAGTGAAACAATATGTGTGTGTTAACTTCGAAGCTATTCATATCAAACTATCAATCACCAAAACTTCTGTAAAAAGTTAGCATCAATAGATGGAATGTTTTTCATTAATGTATCATGCTATAATCCAAAATTCATTACTTGGGTTTTGTTCTTCGTAAGGCCTTTATAAAAGGTTAAACTCTGTCTTTGCGGAACGTTTATACACTGAGTACTATTACCGCTTTCATTAAAAATCGCTATTTTCTTTTTGTGAACGATTTATCAAAATACGTATATAAGAATTTTAGAATTAACACAGAATTTCACAAAAATGAATTATTTGTGATTATTTTATCAATATTTTTATATAAAACTAGTGTGTATTTTGTTGATGTTCTATTTGTTTAAATATCTTACTTAAAAATAAAGAAAAATCCATTCATTGTTGTTTTGTTGCAATCATCTCTCCATATTTAATAGAAGCATATGAATCAGTAAGGAATTTTGCATTGTTTCATTTTCTAAAGTTTTCCTGAACCAAAGAAATTAATTTAATATTTTTCGAAAGATATACTCCTTGTCGTTCCGGAAGTAGCAAATTCTATTTCTTTGATGCAACGAATGATATTTATCTATCCACGCTTTCAAAATATTCTAGAGTTTTGTATTTTTACGCCCTTTTTCAATGGGTTATTTTCGTTATATTTATATATTAGGACTTGAGTATTGCGTGGTATAAATGGGAAAACCCATGCTGTTACAAGAAATATTCACTCTCACTTACACGTGTTATTGCTCTCAACTAGTTTCAATGAAAACATTCATTTTCGAGAAATATCCATTGTTCGATATATGCTGACATTATAAATTTAGGAATTTTATGTCTAAATATATCATAAGTATTGAGTCTTTGCTAACGTATATTGTAATGGTCGATCGAAGCACTCAGTTCTTCATAATAATCTTGTATTCGTCCTAAATCATTTGTTTGATTTTTCTAAGACATTCTTTTTGCATTCGTTTTATAATCAATTTTTGAAACAAAAAGTGTAAAATTTGGTTAAATTTTCCTTAATTACCCTGCTCTTTTCGAAACTGATTTTAAATAGTTCAGTTCTTTTTATTCTAAATATAATACGCTTTCGATATTTTTCATTTTGCACTCTTTTAATAAAATTTTTGACAGCATTATTAACTAGCTAATTTATTTTAAATGTTTATTTATCCATTTATTTAAAAATATTTGGATAAAACATCTCGTAGATAATCTTTTACAATACGCAAATTTTAACAATCTACACTAAAATAAAATATAGGAAATTTTGCCTAGGAGAACTAGCAGTATGTGGCTAACTTGGCGAGAAATTATCAAAGTCTCCAAGAGGTGTTTGACGATAAGGAAAGTTTATGTCTCTAATTATGGTTCTACTTGAACTGTCTTTACGATTAGAAGGTCGAATGACTCACAGACTAAAACATCTACAACAGAAGATGTGAAACAAATATATACAAAGGCAATAAGTGGTTACAAACTCAAAATTAAATAAAATGAAGAATACATAATCATAAAATTGACTTTCCTTCCAGCCTTTTCCAGAACTGACGATTAAGGAAGTCTTTCCTTTGAAGTCCGTTCTACTTAAGCCAACATTGAGGCTCAAAAACGCTTAACTCATCAGAGGGCATTCTCTGTTTTTCTCTTCAGCAAGTGAAAAGAACCTTTATTCACATCCTATTTATATTTCTACCAGCGTCTATAGATGAACTGCTCGTATTCCCACTTACTTATCCTTTCTGTCATGGAATCGAGCGACAAGTGGCAGTTAACTTTAGACCTAACTGTAAAGACTACATAACTCTGTACTTAACAGAAAAATTTTGGTTAAAAGCCAGAGATTTGCAACGGTTAAGATTTAAGTATTCAATTAAAGTTAAGCACAAAAACTAAAGCAAGTTCTAAGATTATTTTGATTTTGTTTCTGCTGCTTTTCGTTCGCTGATGTTATTACTACTATTCGGTTGCAGCGAGCAATTTATGTAAATTCTTTTTACTTATTTGCCTTCGTAATTTTGAAAGAATATCAAATTTTGATTAGTGTACGGGGTAATTCAAAATTTATTGTTCAAATGTCATGGTGAGGTAGAGAAGATGTCGGGGAACCGATTTCACATACGAAAGTATGTCCGCAAGTGTAGGCGCGCGAGAGTGCTGTGTGTACCCAACCAGCGCACAGTTCGCTCGACCACTCCCGCTGTTATCAGTGTACGAGCAAACGTACTTGTGATAAGATGAATCGTTTGACGCATGAAGAGCTAGCGGATATGCCTTTCGCATATGAAGAAGTGATGAAAGCGGCCGCAGAGCTAGGAACGTTTACGAAGATCGATACCCCAACAGAAGAATACCGCAATATCAAATGTTTGCACGAGTATATCGCAGTCTGTGCGAACGTGGTTCACTGCGCAGCAGTATGCAGGATACGGGGAGAAGATGACTGACTCGGACTGCCAAAATCTCAGAACAAGTCCTACATCGAAAAAAATCCGAATGCCAGCACACTAGTTATTACTCAGCAACTTGCGGTCTGTCAGTCAGCAGTGTGGCGGATACTGCACGAGGAACGTGTGCATTCTTACCCTTTGCAAAGGGTGCAGTTATTGCATCTTAACTATTATTCGAAGCGTGGGGAATTTCCACAATGGATCATGCAGAAAGGTGTCGTGGAGACCCCAGTTTTCCAGCTCCTGTCCTTTTTTACAGATGAAGCTGCATTCACTCATGAACGTGTGTTCAATACACAAATTTCACATGGGTGGGCTTACGACAGCCCGCATGGTACGAGAAGTCACGCTGCGCAACATCGTTTTGCCATAAGTATGCTAAGATATGCTAAGATGCTGCGCGTATCTGCTAAGTATGTGGTATCAACATGAGCGGGCTCCACCCCATAGCACAACTGTTGTGCGGGATTACCTGAAGCGAACATTTCGAGTTCAATAGATCAATAGATTCAATAGATCTACAGAGGTGGACCGATAGCTTGGATAACCCCAGGTCAACTGATTTATCGCCTATGAATTTCTTTTTATGGGGGGACATGAAAAACCATGTGTACGAGATCCCCGTCGACAGTGAAACTGAACTTGTTGCACGAATTGTGGCCTCTGCATCAGAAATTGTCCGTGATATGTCAGGCGTTTTGGCGGTCAATGCAACGGCGCTGTGAATCCTATGTTAGTTATTCTTAAAAGTAAATAGTGGCAATTCTGAGCACCTGTTGTGGACCTGTACTTTACCTTGTTGGAATAAAGGTCACATTCGTTACCACTTAACTGTACTGTTTACTTTGTGTTAACTTTACTTGCCCATTTTGTTCATGTAGATGATGTATGCTGCCATACTTTACTATGTGAAATCGGTTTCCTGAAGTCTTTCCTACCATCTCATGAAATCTGAATAATATGTTTTGAATCACCCTGTAGAATACTTTCTATACTAATCAAAATTTAATCTGTATCGGTTGCTGTTATCAAATATCTAATAAATTAGTTTGATTAGTTGGAAACTAAAATATTATTTTTTGTTTGTAATTTTTCTGTTGCTGGTAGATAAGTTTTAGTAATGCATATTTGTTTTCTTTTATAGGAGTATGCTATGCAGAATTTGGCGTCCGCGTTCCTCATACTACAGGCTCTGCATACATGTACAGTTACGTGACAGTAGGAGAATTTATTGCCTTTGTTATCGGTTGGAATATGGTACTGGAATACCTCATAGGTACAGCAGCCGGTGCGTGTGCCATCAGCGCATGCGTAGATGCTATGGCGGGTGGGTCTATAAGTTCTGCAATTAAAAATGGCCTTGGCACGTTTATTGGTAAGTTATGTTATTTTGTTTGCCAGAATGCATAATATAAATGACGATGAAACTTTTCTCTTCAGAATTATACCGCTTTGAACTTTGTATCTGTTTAAATTAAGATATTAACTTCAATGGAACCATATCAAAACAAAACAAAATTTATAAGAAAAAAAAAAAAAAAAGAATGGACAAAAATTTTAACTGTATTTGGTGTTGAAAGTTTTTCTGTATTTTACAATTTTTAATGAATGTGTTTTGATGTTTTATGCCTTGCCGCGAAGTGAGAATTGAACTGATCGAATCGGAAATACATCACTAATGAAATTCGAGAAAATAAGTTTAAATGAATTGCAGAAAAAAATTTGTCTAATTTAATAGGCTGTAAAAGATGTCATGTGTTGCCCATATGAGATAGTTACATTTATTTTTTATGCTGAAAAGATATCTAACTATTAACTGTTTAAGAGATGTTTATCACATCTTTTTTAAATATTCCCTATGTCCCATCATGCACTGAAAAATATCATTTCAATATTTGTCTAGCTACTATACTATACTAAGGATACTTTCATCGAAATGGAGTTATTCTTAAAAGTCGATAATGAGAATAAAAGAATTATTGAATGATCGCATAGTTTCCAAAAATCTGTGACTTTTATCGTCATCTAAATTTAGCAGTCTGAATTACTTCTGATGAAGTTGTAGAAAGAGCTTTTCGTAATACTTCTCCCACATTTAAAAGTTTAGAGAAGATCAGTGTCATGAAAAGAGACAAACCAGGGGGGGAGATAGTACACAGATTTGCAATACATTTCATATTGGTACCAGTCTGCGGCAGAGGCAGAAGCTTTTCCAAAACATGCGTTAAAGCAGGTATAAGATATAAGGAAAATTTTTAGAAGTTCTCGGCAATTTCTGCTCATTCATGACTGATCTATACCCAAAATTTTGAGAAAAACTCTATGCGAATCCATAATTCTGCTGTGTTACTTAAAGTAAATACTCAAGACCATAATTCTCTGGCCCGTTTTCAATTCCATTATGTGCCATAATGATTTTCATGAAATAAGTTTTCCTGCATCATTTAAGACTGGGAGACATTTTATAATCCGCTGAAATACCCTACTCGGTGCTCGCTTTGGAATTAGTTTTTTAATCAAAAATTCTTTGAAGTGTTATAAAATATGAAATCGATAAGAAAACAAATTTCAAATTCAAATTAGGGCTTCCACATATTAGGGCTTCGATATTTAGTTATATTGGTACTACGTTTTGACCCTACTCGGTGACCACTTACACAAAGCATTAATAAGATGGTAAAAATGAATTCGGAAATTAGAATCTATTCAATATCGGACATTACCATGCTTATGAGAGAAGCTAAAACGGTAGACGTCTCCTTAAGGCGCCTGTTTGTTTTAAAGTAACAAAGCATTGTGTAGAACTGAAATAATTCAGTATGAAGATTTAATTCTAGGTAATACATTTTTACAACAGGTAATTTCCTTTAATTTTTACCTGATCTTAATGTGAAGTTTTATTTAGATATATTGGTTAATTTTTGAAAGTATAGATGTATTTGAAAGTATAAATGTATTTTGGTATTATTTGTAAATGTATTTTGAAAGTATACATGTATTCCCTCGAGATTATTACGTTCCCAGTACAAATAAAAGATGGACAGTTTATTTGTGCTGGGCCGTAATAACAGACTTACCGCACGGAGAACCTGCGCGATTAGCCTTTGTGCGAGCTGCTTGATTTTCTAAATAACTTTTTTTACATAAAAAATAGTAAGAGTAAGTTTCTGAGACCTTTTTTAAGAAAAAGAGGGAAACAAAACGTCATTATATTTTTTCATAGCAGTATTAAAAGCATTAAAAAAGTTATCAATAACAAGCAGTCAAGATAGACCGTGTCAAGAAGGACCTGCAGAAGGTCTTTAACTAGATAAATATTAAAGTGATATCTCTCCAGAACATGACGGGACACAGGGAATGCTCATAAACATCTTTTTCGTATTTTTAGCACAGACTTATCTGAATTTTATAAGGAAGCTTTCTGCTAACGGATTGTTTAGATTCTGAATATAAAACGCCTCTTTTTGCCTCATTACTTCTTGTCAGTGAGTATATCGTTTAAGTTCACGCTTAAACAAATAGAAGTATTTAGTTTTCGACTCCAGTGTAACATTTTCACTTTCGTCTAAATACTTTGTACTTTCATGCATTCTGATAATAGTGATACGAAATGTACGCGGCGCGGTGAGATAGCTTCCTCGAAAAAGCAGGTTTAGGGTTGCCATAAATGGCTAGGAAAGGCAGGGTTGTTACATTTGGCGAAAAATCGCCAATTTGGTGAGATTTGTCGACAAAATTGGCAATATGCTATGGACGGATGGAAAACTTTCTGGAACGAATTCTTACCGGTTTAGCTCAGGATGTTCTCGAACACAAGCCAAAAACTATATAAACCCTGCTGGTACGCAGAGTGCCTCCTCGCGAGTGCGAGATAGTTAGTATCGAGCTAGTGTTTCGAGTTAGTCAGTCCGTGCGGAGTCGATCGACAGCCAGTCAGCGAGTACCCAGTGGGTCGTCGAGTGCATCGAAAGAGTCTCTTAGTGTATTGCGGTTAGTGCATCGTCGAAAGAGTGTGTTGAGCTCCAGAAACGGCTGAATCGAAGAGTCGGGAGCTGTGCTCTGCGTGTCGTCGAGTGCATCGCGAGTTGTAGTGTGGAGAGTCTCGAGAGTACGTGAAGTTCTGAGAACGACCGAACAGAGTCGGGAACTATACTCTGGTGCTTTGCAGTGAAGCTGTCTCGACCGTTATAGCCTAATAGTGTGAAGGCTGTGTCGCTGAGTTTCAACGTGTTTATAGTAGATATTCGACGACTGTAAAAAGTGACTTTGGAGCTGTCCTGATTAATATTGTTTGTTTCGATACTTCATCAAGTGTCGTTGTTATTCACTCCAAATCTACGAACCCCGTACGAACGTGAAGGAAGAAAAATAACGCAACAATAGTTTTAATTTATTAATAGCTTTTTTCTTCGAACATACTTCTACGACGGTGACTATTTTAAGCTTTATTTGTTTCCATCATGTTTTGTATGAGTAGGGATTTCATTTTTTAGCAGCAAGAAGCCAGTACCATGTGTGTCTGCGAAAGACTGAAGTAGGAATGGGACTGATGGCCCCGTAAGAATGGAGGGAAAATTGTACTTTTGTATTGATGCATGGGAAGGAAATGTATAATACAGGTGTTTTCTCAACGATACGATATTGTATTTTATAACCTATTCGTGACCCATCAAATAAAAAATTAAAAATTTATTGACGTTATTATTTTCTCTCGCCTTCTGTAAGTTTTCTGCAGATGTCTATCCCCAGGACATTTCATGAAAATTGATTTCAGTAATTAGAAAACATGCAAGATTTGTATTATATAATCTTGTATGATAGATAAAAATCAAGAAATTAAAGGAAGTCACACAAGAAGGACAAAATTCAAGATATTGGAAAGTAGGTTCCATACCTTTTTCAGCATTTGTGCTCCGAAAATGATGTGCATGGCTTGAATGTTTGTTTCTGCTTTACTTTCGCATATTTTTCATTGGGTAATATTATTTTTAGAATTTGTGTTGGATTTGATATGCTCATATAAGCACTGAGTGAATTTTTAGAATCCATATAAGTTAAAATGTTCCTTTACAGCTGATACCTGTAAACGATTCTTTTGGAGACCAAATATCATTTCACAGTTGAAGATTTTTTTTTAATCTACTGGAAAAGAGATACTAATTAACTATACGAACAACCATTCGCATTTGCAATTTTCGGATATTTTTCAATCCTGGACATAGCTCCAGTTATAATTACAAATCTTGTGCTAATCTTGGACTTCTAATAACTCTATCTATGAGGCAACGAGCGAGCATATACTCATACATCAAGCTGAAGGGCATAATATATTTATAATATAATTATTCACTACCTGAGTTTTGGTTTTTAGTATCGTATTAGGGTTGCTTTATAGCTTACTTTACAGATTTAATGTTAAGCAGGTTTTTGTTTTTAAGTCAAACTTTCTTATTGCTGCTCAATTTAACACACGCTATTCTTTAAAAAGCTAGGATATGCAAATACGTGAGCATCGTCAGCTATCATTGATGATTTATTTTTTATCTTCCATTGAGTGATTTCCCATGATTGATATCCAGAAAGTGACTAAGCGTGCTTTCCTCTGAAAATGATTTGATTCGTATCACGTATACCATTGAGGTTTTATGTTAATTTTCGAAAGTAGTTTTTCCGTCCTTGGCAAGAGATGGATTTGCTAATGTATGCGAAATCAAGTTTTTATGTTAGCTAAATTACGTACGATTATTGTTTAAGTTACTGGAAGTTATCTGATTATAAAATGCCGCCAGCTGAATGGTCTAAATTTAACATGATAATTATGACACATGCCATATTTGATTTTCAAGACATTCACTCATAATAGTAGTATTGTCATTTTTGATTTTCAAGACATCTTAAAAACTATAGGTTTGTTTTGGGTGTAATACGATATCAGAAAATAAATTTTGCGTATTGTTAGTCCAAAGGGGCAATTTGCCCAGAAGGACTATTAATTTCGTTTAGGCACTTAGTGTCGATTCACGATAATCGTTGTTTCGCGTTTCAAATTGTTATCACCAAATATGATCACCCGGTATTATATTTAATTAAATAATGAAGAATCTGCATGAATGTATGTACGTTTCTAGCATTGTGATAAAACAACGGTAGCAGAGCCATCACAATTTGAATATCGTAATCTTCCATAGAATATTTGCATTCCATAGAATATGGGAATCTGAAACCTTTCAGATTATTTATTTTTTTAATTTAAAATTTATTATGATTTAATCTTCGCTGCCAGAGAAAGCTTGGCGATACACTTAGACAATTGCTGGTCTTCTTAGTAAGCTGATAATATAATTATTTCATAAAACATTACAGATTCCTATTTTTGACATTTAGGCTAAAAGAAAAGAATTAAAATATTTGTGATTTATATTAATTAAAATAACTGTAAGTATTTTTACATTAATAAACGCAAATGTATTTCCATTGCTATGCTGATCAATAACAATTAATTTGTTGGAATGTAAGATTACTTGAAGGAGATTACCTTTTTACAAACATGGAAGTTTTTCGATATAAAAAGTTTATTTGCAACACTGAAATTCCCTTGAATTATTTTCAAAAAATGAATACCTAGGGTCAAGCTTTCTGGAGAATTTTATCAGTTACGGTTTTTTTAATATCGGTCATTTGAATTATTTTCTTAAACTATTATTAAGCTCAATTTGCATTAAGGGTAATAAACATTCAGTGGTTTCGGTTAAAAGTCAGAAGTTTTCCGGCTACTGCTCCGTCAAAATACACAGACTAAATAAGATCATACACGTATATGGAATACTGCGTAACCTACTATTATGAGTGAATATATGTGACGACAGAATCAAAAGAAATACAAGACAGTATTTAAATCATGCCTAATATTTAGTAAAACTGAAAATGATTGTCGCATATTATTCTCCTATGCATATATCAAATAAATGACTTGATAAATTTAACACCCTTAATTCATCATCCACGCAAACTCATTAAAAACCAGTTTTCAAAGTGTTACCATTCGGCGTACCGTAAGATCTTTAATTGATCTTCCAGATTTAATCAATCTGTAATTGCCAAACAAACTGAGTACTTTAAATTTAAAATATGCACTTCTTGATAATTTCAATCCCTCTCTTCATAATACACATAGCTCATATAATTTAAAATTCTTTGTTATCTAGTAATTGCAACGAATAAATTCGATAAATATATGGAGCGTTATATTTATTAAGAAAAGGTGTTTCTAACACTACATGTTACGTATATCGGTAGAGAACATTTCGGGTTTTCTTGAAAACTGCAGTGCATAGATTAAAAGTTTATATATATAACCGTTTCAGATAACTTTATACACAGATTTAAATTACTTGTTTTTAGATAACAGAGTGATGCAAATTAAAAATTTTATTTTGCTGGAAAATGTTTTTAATCTACTTTCTAAGTGCTTGAACTACGATCAATTTATAAGGAATTTCTCCCACTTTCCTAGCGTGCTTTCGTGGTGTAGTGGTTCTGCACGCTGGGCCGGTATGCAGAGGTCCGTGGTTCGATTCCCGGCAAGGCGTTTGGTAATTTTTCATCTCTCCGGTAACCAAAAACATACCTAATGTCTCTACAAACTCAGCATTGGGAGAAACATTTTATCTTATCACGTAAAATAATGTGCATAGGAAGCAATTGTTCGAATTATACAAAATGTGTCTTTCTTTATCAAAGTTTCTTGTTAAGGCAGAATTGCCCGAAATCGTAACCAGTCTGTTCAAATCTAAACTACAGGATGGCCAATGAAAAGTAGCCCACCTTCAATGATAATGTGATAAGATGGGCATTAGCTTTCTAACGCAATATGCATAGAAATAGTGAGTACAAAAGCAAAATAAAGCTCAAGCACAGCAGAGACAGTCGCTGGCCAGAGGGCAGTCTGCAGATAGAGAAAAGGGGTTACGATTTCCTTCACAGAGCGTGACACCGGTTTTGAAGGCCTGCTGCTTTCTCGTTGGCCACTCTGTATATAACCATGTACAAGTAATTTTCTGTTAGATGGTGCAAGACAAGATAATGCATTAGGGACTAAAATTTTCTAGATTATGTGTGTTTTTCTCTCAAAATACTGCAGTACATATAGAATTACAGGCAATAAGCAAATTCAAATTTAAGGGCCAATAAAGACTAAATTTTATCAGTTACTAAGTAGAGTATGCACAATTTCCAGAAATCATTTATAAAATTTTTAATTTTTGTTATTTCAGGCCACACGCCCGACTTTTTGGCTGCCTTGATCACCTTTTTCATGACATTGTTGATGGTGGCAGGTGTAAAGAAGTCGTTGCTATTCACCAACATTCTAAATGCTGTCAACCTTTCTGTTTGGGTTTTCATCATGGCTGCCGGACTTTTCTACGTAGACACTAGCAACTGGAGTGCTCACGGAGGATTTATGCCTTTTGGTTGGTCCGGGGTAAGTCCGCTTAAAAATATTTCTCTTGTTTTGGATCCTCATATGTTTGCAGTAACCCAGCAGATACGCTTGAGACACCTATATCCAGCGGTTACGTAGTAAATATTCATTTAAAAATAAATGAATCCAAATATTTTAAGTTCAGTATAACTTAAGTTGCCATCTCTTGAAATGTAAAGAGTACTGACTGTAAAACTGTACTGACTGTAAAACTGTAAAACTGACGCCATTCTGAGGTTCAATGTTTCCTAATTTTTAATTTTAAATTAATAAACTATTTGTAAATAGACCATCTGTTTACAAAATAATTATTGATGTTTCGAAACAGAATAACTTGTTGACCAGTGGTATTCAAATGCCTCATATACAGACGAAAGACACCAGTTTCAAATTTTCTCAAACACGTCTACAATGTATTTTAAGTAGATCATTTTTTATCTAAGATTAATAGTCTTATTCTTATCATATCTTTCTTTGATCTATTGGATTTTCTAGCACTTGTTTTGCTTGTTTTCAACTTATAGATTCTTTTAAGCAGAATATAAGATCTGAATGGACTCGGTACAGAAACTACAGATTAGAGCTTATTAAATTAAAAAAAGAAGTCTGTTGGGGAGTAGCGATCTTGTACACTGCTGCCTCCTTGCTGGTTCAGCAAGTGTAATGTTTCTGTACTTGCTACATATAGGTTGTATTTCATGATTACGATTGAAATATTTCTGCTGTCACTGCGAAATCGTCACGAGCAGTTACAGGCGCGTGCTAGATTATAAATGATGACAATCTATGAGTTTTGTGCCTTCGACAACATCTGCAGATTATCTAACAAAATGATGTAAGTTAAAATAGTTCCAACAGCTCCCAGGATAAAGCTCCTTTTGATAGGTACAATATTCCAAACCGTCAGCGTAGTTTTCATTTTCGCACATTTGAAGAATTTTTTATGATACGCATCCAAATACTCCATGTTCAGAGACAAAAATTCAGCTTTGGCAGCAACCAGCAAAGATGCTTCGTAAACAAGCGATCCAGAAATAACCATGATTAAAAAACTGAAAAAGCTGATTATGAACATTAGTAATGTAGAAATCCGAGTATATAATTTTGTATAATATTTAGAGTGAATCAACATATTGACTGTGAAATACATTACAGAAGCATTGTACAAAGTACTAAGAAAAATAAAGACTGACAATTCGTTGTCCATTTGTTGAGCTTTTCTCTTAATCAAATTGTATGAATGCAAACACATTTTGTAATTAAATCTTGGTAATTCCAATATTGTTGCAAATTTAAGAATTGCTCTTTTCAGTCGATAGCATTGTTTCGTATAAAAGATGGCAAATGTGTTTGCTGGCAAATACATGAAAAATAATAATGTGAACGAAAAGAACGAATTTAAAAAATGTTTAACTGACGCACCCAAATGTGTATCATGCGGATTTTCATTAGAAATTAGATTTAAAACAAATACTGCTATGTGTCCTAGAGTAGAAAATAGAGATAAAATATGAAGCCACTTTGTCCCTTTGCCTTCAGCCTGTAACAGTAACTGGGAAATTTGTAGATCTATAGTTTTCAAAATTTTCAATTTCGAACGCAAAAGCAAATGAATTATGACTGCAAACATTATCATGAACATGTATCCGATTGATCTAACGTCTTCTGAAAAATATTTCAAGTACCACATAGCAACGATCACATGATATAAAATCACAAAATTGCAAATTATGCAGACGCAGTGTTTGAGAATTTTCTTTGCTGTGGAATCGGAAGGTTGTACACTGAAATCCGCAATTCCACTAAATTTGAAAAGCGCAAACTCATGACTGTAATTCAGAGCCATTGAAAATGCCTTTTGATATAATAATTTTACTTTCATGTACTCGTATTCCCAGAATTCGTTACAATGGCACTGAAATTTGGTAGTTTCTCAACAGGGAAATATGTAATCTTCTCTTTTGATATATAAATGAATGAAAAATAACTATAATCTCTACCTCAGAAAAGTAGATTAAAGCAAATGTTTTCTTTTTGCAACTTTCATATATTTTTTACGTATTTTTTAAATGATATTTGTTCGTATGCAAACATAGCTTTTGTTTCGCAATAGTCTGTATTGTATTTTATCACCCATTCAAACAATTGAAAACGGTTACTAAGAATTTATTAAAATACAAGTATATCTGCTTTTCTAAAAAAATCAGAATGTTTAACTATGCTAACTTTAAATTTATCTCATTCGTTAACCTCAGCTTTCTATGGAAAAATATGCATGGTACTGAAACTGTTGAAACTATGTTCTCTCTTTTGGTCTTTCCAAATCCCAATAAAAAAGTTAGCATAGTTTTATGAATGTTTCTTTGTATAGAGCCATGATTTCAGTGTTCGAATTTATTAGCTTTTATTCTTAGAAACTTTAATCTTCCCTATTTCGTTTATTAAAATATGTATTCTCAAAAGCGTTATCTTATCTTACTTAATACTTGTTTTATTCAAGAAGTATTATTGTTTTTATCAGCAGCATTCATAAAACTTGAACTAAGTTTTATTCATAAAACAAATTCAAGATCGGAGGTCTAATTTAGGAAAATTTTCAATGGAACACCTGTTTGATTATCTTCATAACACCATAAGATAATAATGACGAATTACTTATGAACACTATTCAAAATACTTTGGTTAAATACAATAAAGCCTAAGAGCAAAAAATATAGGCTTTGAAATCAGTCCTTGAAAATATGAGATGCATTTTTTATGAGTCTTCATATATTAATCATCATGAACGATTTTCAAGCTCACACAGAGTTAAGATATTAGGCAACGTTGAAATGGCAGATAAAATCAAGTCTTTTTGAAATTTTAGGTAAGTAGAGTATCATGCAGGCCAATGCTTATATGTTAACTGATTCCTTAAATCTGAGAAAAAACGTGTCTAAGCGAAGTACAGAGTCTTAGGATATTGTATGTAGAATGTGGAAAGTTCATTCATCTATAAATTTCAGGAGTTTCTTCTAATAACACTTGCATACAGTAGCTTTGCTTGCAATTTAATTATCGATTGTTTGCCATTGCTTAAAGGTAACATGACTGGTATTAATCACGCAAAGAATTCTGAAGTCTTCGCAAATATAGACTTATTAAAAATATAGAATTATTAAATGACGACATTAGCAGATAAAATCAGGACTGTTGTTAGTCTCATATAAAATATTAATATCAAATGCTCCATCCCTTTGCAGGAAATGTTTAAAGTATCTGAAGCAGGTACGTCAGTAGCTTAACTTAATTGCACAATATGTCCATAAGGATGCACTCTCTGTTAATGGAATTCAGAAGACCTCGGTCAGTTGCAGTTACAACTGGACCTGTGCTTGAAACTGAGGTAAAGGTTTCAAGAGTTTTGGTGGATTATAAAAATTTAAAATATTAAATGGGGAAATTGGAGTACATAATAAAATTTCTTTTAACTGTCAAATGTTTACATAGAGCACTTATTTGTTCTGTAAAAACTGTTAAAGGTTCTTGACACAAACTATTCCAGCATAGTCAATATTATTTACTCTAATAGTATTTAAAGTTCTTGTTTATAGTTTAAACTCAATTAATCATTTATAGTCTTGGGTTAGTCAGTGAATCATTAATAGTCTTAATTAACGATTTATAGTCTTGAGGTCTTTGAGACTATATAATTTGAGATTATTATATGTGGTTATATAAAGACCGAATATAGTGTATTAAATGCTTTTACAGTACCTTGATTGCAACTTAATCCAGAGCTCACAGCATGTTACATTATTCTGAAAGAAATTTCCAAGAACAGGAAGCCCTTTACTGTAATAAGAAGCACTTTACTGCTATCAAGCCTAGTGTCAAATTCTCAGGCTAAATCGTAAGATATTTTATGCTTCTTTAAACATTCAAGACCTAAATCTTTGTCCTTTGAATTTATAACAGTTTTGAAATATTAACTATGCTAATTCCAAGCTGAATCAAGCATATTCAAAATCGCAGATACGATGATTATGACAGCAATTTTATCGCTTGGAAAGAGGAAAATTTCTCGAAACTTTCGCTTTCGGAGATCTACACTAAATTCAAAAACAAATTTATTGGTTCAGGATTAATACTTCAAATTATCAATAAACTTATAGCAACAGATATATATATAATAACAGAAATATAGGATATAGTAAACAGAAATAACTTTTGTTATTAAATAAACATTAGCGTTTATTCTTTTTAATTGAAATTTGCATTCAGAAACCAATCAATATGTGGAAGCGTTTTCAAAACCATTATTTTTTGCGTCAAATTTACCATTTAATTGGACGAATATTTACACATTTATATTGCACACACAGATTTTCTTCTTTAAACAGCAAATGTTTTAAACAAATTAATCTTTTCTCGTCGAAATCTTTTGTAGATATTGACAAAAAATAATGAATGACTGTATGTAATTACGAGAAATGATTTTTTCTCACATTCTATAAAATTCAATTCGGTTTAAATATGGGGAAAATATTATTTTTCAGTGTATTGTTGCAAACATTCTAATGGAAAGTAAACCTTATTTAAAAATAACCTAACAATTACAGCTGACATTAAAAAATAATAAATAAAAATCCGAAATTTGAGGACTTGTTCGAACCTTTGAAGATAATTCTAATATGTGAAAAATGTTCTTACATCCTTTAATCCCAATATAGTCTTAAGCACCTTAGGTTCTTTTAATTTTATACAAGTTCAGGTTATAAACTTGGATAATACTTGTAGACATATTGAAGAGATAGTGCATTCGTAGATAAATCAAGCATGTTGTAACTCTTAAGATAACTCTTAATCAATAACATTTTCATCACTACATCTTATATTTCACTTAAAAGAAAGACATGCAAGGCATGTGAAGATTGTTCCAAACTTATGCGTATTAATAACTTGTACATACAAGACATACGAAGATTGTTCCAAAGTTATGAGTCTTAAGAACTTTTGCGTGTAAGACATACGAAAATTGTTCCAAACTTATAAGTATTAAGAACTTGTGCATGTAAGACATGCGAAGATTGTTCCAAAGTTATGAATATTAAGAACAAAATTCTCAGAACTTACAGACTCACAGAAACTCACAGACAAAATAAAGATCAGTCACAGTGCGTTTGTTTCACTTCGAAAAAGCATCTAAGCTACCTGAAACAAACTTGCAAAATAATGGAAGTGTAGCCTGTGTATGATTATCAAGAAATCTTCCACTGCATTTAATAGTTCAAGGTAACAACATTAAGTAGTCTCTAAGAAGATTCCTTTTATGAAATATTTCTTCGGATAATACATATAAAACGGAGAACATTGTTATCTGTCAGATATGTATACAATGTGAAGCATTTTGTCGTAGACAGTTGCTCATTGACAAATCATTCTTTATGATCGACGATCATTATATGAATCAAAGAAGTGCATGCACATTGTGATTTTGAAAAATTCTCCACAGTATATCAATATATTTTAATATCTTTAATGGCATCGAACATTTGCTCATAATACGAACCATGACGTAGAAGATTGATAGAATCAGTAACGCCCCTAGAATATTGCAAATAAACTGACGCATCGATTTTGCCATTCTATTGTGAATCGATGCACTTAAATTAAGTAGATATTTGCTTGCAACTATAGGGTTTAATTAAAAAATATATTGATAGGTGCAGGAACACAGAGAGTTATTTTTCAATCCCAATTTTTCAAAACCGATATACAGATTTTTGCAGATCCTAGGCAGTTTTATAGAAAATGTTCCAATATTTTGAAGAGTAAAATCCTAATTAAAGGAAAATAGTGTTTATTTTTCTGCATAATCCACGTAAAGTAAAATTTCGAGCAATAAAATATCTGTCATATGTTCAGGTACCTGGATATCAATATTTAGAAACAACTCTTAGCAAAATACGTAGGAAAATTAAAGAATGTGCAGGCTTTCAACAATGGAAGTTCTCCGGAAAATGCAGTGTGAATTATAATCAGGGTATGAAATTGGCGAAGTCCTCAGGAGTAAATGTCTGTTCATTATATATATATTATATACACACAAATATGTGTGTGATATTTTAATTGTGTAGAAGACACCTGTACTTTTAACTTTCGATAGTCGTCATGGCTGAGGGTGAAGGCATACAGACGAAACTAACAAAAACTGAATTTTGACGAATCACCAGTCTTTATTTTCACACATATCAAATTATTTTGGCAAACATTTATTCAATCGTAGTTAAATGCGATAATTTTTATATCCGTTGGCTTTAAAAATACGACGTAAGCATCTTTGACAGGAAAGCATAAGCAGCGTGGAGATGTTGGCAGGGCAGAAGTTAAGAATAGGAAATGATGTAATTGCTTGCGAAGCAGTATCTATACTAAGTAGGTGCATAAATATACCTAAACTGCTATTGGCTAATTTTAGTATGTTATGTAACATGAAAAGTTCTCGTTTGGGAGAACAAATGAATTTAGGGGGAAGAACACCAAATTTAGAATAGTTTTGAGGTCGCCAATTGTTTCTTAGCTTAGCCATTGTATTTTATTATATCTTACATATAAAAGGGTGGTTCAAAACTATATGTCAAAAATGTAAGTTAGAGGGGACCTAAATAAGCAGATTTCGTATAGGAATGTGTTTGCGGTAATGCCACGTTGAGTCTATAGAGAGCGCTGATGAATACGGCATATAAAAGCGCTGAGCTATCTAGATTCTTCGAAGTCAAGACTAAGCCTAAATCTTTTTTTCCAGACTACTTACCAGTCGACCAACAGATGGCAGCACACGAGCCTTACCAACGTTTTCTCTAGCACTTAGAAGGTGCTAGTTTTCCTATCATTAATATGAGTACGAACTTTTAATAGGATTCCCTATTTCGGGTACGACATCATATAATAAGTAAGAGCCAAGGTTACGGTTACGGTAGATTCTTCATTTTCCGCACGGGTCTCGAGCAGTATGCATCGTTACACCAATGCGGAGCCGACATACATTTCATGAATGGGGCTGCACAAGGAAATGGATTAGCTGCTCAAAGAATGTACAGGGAGGTCTTACCTGAACTTTTGGCTGATGTTCCTCCAGCTGTTCGCAGACGAATATGGTTCCAACACAATGGAGCCACAGCTGACTTCAGCCGGAACATCAGGAATCACCTGGACAGTCTACGTCCAGCACTGCATAGGGTGGGGAGGGCCAGTTCTCTGGCTACCGTGTTCTCCTGATTTAACCTGCTTGGATTTCTTTTTTTTGGGGTCATATTAAAGGCCTCGTGTACGGGAGTATCGTCACATCTACAGAAGATCTTGTTGCCCGCTTGCCAGTTGCTGCTGGACATGTGCTCAACATGCCTGACGTCTTTTCTAATATACGCCGATCCATTCGCCGCCACTGTTCATCTTATATCGCTGTTGGTGGCCGCTCTTTCGAGTACCTATTGCGAACTGTTAATATTTTTTTTCTATTTTCTTTACTTGTCTTTTCAGTTTACTGTGATTCATACTACTTTACGTGCTAGCGCTTTAATGCGGCATTACCGCACACACATTCCTATACGAAATCTGTTAATTCAGGTCTTCTCGAACTGCCTTTACATTTTTGACATATGGTTTTGAACTACTCTGTATATATATATATTTGATATTTAAAAATATATGTATCCGTATTAGTAATTTCCTTCTTTAAGTTATTATAATAAATCTTTTAAGAAAACTGCACCAAAGAAGTGAAAATATTTGAAAGTAAATGCTCAATGCAATCAGAAAAACTTTTTCTTGCTTCGCTAATACGCTAATGCTTTCTCTACCAATAGCTGTCCCAACCTTTGTTTTGAAGGAGGGGAATATGTAACAAAATACGATGACTGCGCTAAGAAACCTCAAACTTAACTATTCTTCATCTGTTCTCTTAAATTTGAGACCTTTCCACGTCACATAAGAACCTAAAATTAACCAATAGCAGTTTAGCTATACTTATGCACCTACTTAGTATAAATATTCTTCGCAAGAAACTACGTCATCAGTTTTGCAGAAATTACTGTTTTGTAGATAATATTTGACATAAAGGTGCTTTAATATTTATATTTTTTTCGTATTGAAATAGAACTAATTTTTCTTACTTGATTTTGTCTTAATCAAACACATTTTATCTTCCAGAATCAGTATTGTTGTTAAATAGAAGGATGAATCACGGAATCCTTTCGTTTGACATCGATAGAGTTGATATTGCTGCTAGATGTGATATACATTGGGCACACAAAACAGGCTTTAAATTTTGTATAAGAAATCATGAACCGTGTGTTCTAATAGAAGAATAAATAAATCGATTAATGCCCAGCATTATTCCTCTGCACAAACTTTGTTTCTACGAAAATCGTCCAAAGGTTTCTGCATATGGTGAATTATATTTGTCGTTCTATATCTACAAAAATATTTTTACATTTAAATGCTAACCCTTCTTCCCCTTTCATTATATATTTCTTTCCTCTTTCATTACAAATGATGTTGTACGCTACTAGCTACTAACTTGTCCTCTAAAATTCTTAAATCTCTCTTTCTGTGTGTGATACTTGTCTTTCATTCCGTTGTAACCGAAGACGACGGTAGTGTTGAATCATTGATAGCACGTTTGCGAACATAAAATCTATGCCAGTTATTACTGGTTTCTATAAATCAACTTCACCTTTCTTGCCGTTCTATGTTAATGGTTCCTAGATTACCCAATAGGCGCATTCTCTTCCAGCTTATACCCCATTGGATATTTATAAATGTGTTGGCAAACTTCCAACAAAGGTAGCGCTATTCTTGTCAGACTATATATTTTAACTCTAGTTTGAGTGAATATACCTAAACCATTTTTGAATTATTTGGTAATGTGTGAAAAAGTAATGCAAGATAAATATAATAATACTCTTCAACGTTCAATTTAATGTTTTATAGAAATATTTGCGTTTTAGGAAACTAGATGGAACTTGAATTAAATTGATGTCTCTAAACTACAGTGCATCAGATTCATTCCGATCGATCTTATTTAATTATCTAATTATAATAAAAACAAAATCCGTAGATAAAAATGATTTAGAGATGGCACTATTTTCCAGCCTATTATAGCAGGGCTTTACTTCTTATAACTTTTACAGGGCAATGATCTTGTAATATTTCAGCGCTAAAAATGCCATTTTTTAAAAATATGTTAGAGTTTTCTCTCCGGCCGACGTAAAGAAAGTTAATAAATTTGAAATACCTTATTTCTGCCTCAGGATAGTCCGCTGAGATTGGATTCTTAAAGGAGCTGCAGTTCAACGTTCGAGAGACTGATAAAAAAATCAGACTCAACATTTTTCTGACATCTATGCTTATATATGCCCAGACACGCATAAAATATATCCTAAAGCTTAAAACAGATTTACAAGTTGTGTAAAATATCATGCTATATTTTATTAGAAAAACGTTTCTAGTCTATCTTCTAGACTTATTTTTAATCCTCAGGTAGAAGTTTAGCTGCATAAAATATTTTTTTTCAAGCTTGCAGTCAGATCATTTTAGATTATACTCTAGCACAGGGATGGGCAAACTACGGCCCGCGGGCCAACTCCGGCCCGCCAGAAGGTTCTATCTGGCCCACGGAGAGAATTTAAATTTTTCTGTCCGAGGCAAATTAAAAGAGATATGTATTATATATCCATCTCCTTTTCTATTTTGGTTAAATATTATTTATTTCTTCCTTTTTTCAAAAAACTGATGATCTTTTTACTCTCTCTATTTTTTGTTCTACAAAACATAAAATGACAGAAATAGCAAGCACAGACAGCTTTTAATCCGTAAAGTGTGAGCAGCGGAAGTTCTTTGTTAGTTATAGCTATAGATTGACGTCAACAATCGTTATCTCTTTCTCGGGAAGCAGACATATAGGAATCCAATTATAGGTGAAATAGACCTCTTAGAAAGAACTTAATCTTAACTTGGTAAATCTTAATATGTTTGCTGGGCAGCTAGCTAGTCTCGTTTGAGGTTAAATTCAAAACCCTAAGTAATTGAAGAGAAGCTTACGAATTATAAAGATGGCTTGAAAAAACTGCATTTTGAGTTCGAACGAAGATGTCAAGATTTCAATGCCATTCAAACAGAATTGGATTTTTTACCATGCCTTTCAACGTAAATTGGGAAGCAGTGAGGTCAGATTTGCAGTTTGAATCGAGTTGCAATCTAACAATCATCTCAAGCAGTTGTTTCTAAATATGCCAAAATTAGAGTTTTACAAATCATTATCGAAAGTAAGTTTCCCGAATTTAATATCTCACGCCCAGTAAATCAGTGCTATGTTTGCTTCATCTTAGATATGTGAAAAAGTGTTTTCAACCATAAACCCTAGAAAGAAATATTTCAGAAGTAGATTGACACATGCGCATTTAGCTTCGTTCCTTAGAATCAGTACATCACGCCTCGAACCTCAATATAAGTAACTTTTAAAAATGAAATCGCAATTTCAGTTATCTCATTAACATAATTAAATTGTAATACTTGTATACTGTTCTTAAAATTTTAGAAAAATATCTTGGCCCGCCAACGTTTTGTTTTCGATTTTTGGCCCGCGACTGAAAATGTTTGCCCATCCCTGCTCTAGCATCTCGAAAAATACTTTGCCACCAATTTCTTTTTAAATTAAGATGCGTAAACAATTAATTATATATGTATATGTAGTGCGTCCGTAAAGTCATGGTGCACTTTTGATCGGTCACAGGAAAGCAACAAAACGAGATAGAAATGTGAAATATTTCTATCTCGTAAAACAAAAGAAAATCTCTAGAAGTTTCACACTAATTCAGTGCAGTTTAACTCTTCTATATAGCCTCTACAGACTCATCACTGACAAAACGGGGTTTTGTCCAACAAACTGCCGGTATCCTTCAACTGCTTATCACACCGATTAATGTTATTCCTATGTGATGGCGGTTCGTTGTACACGCGACAATATTAACACTGCGCTTTGGTCACTGATCGAATTTGGCAAGCAATAGAACACACTGAACTTTCCTCTCTACGTCCACATCTCGACTGGCGTGCGCGTGGATGGACTGATAATCGCGGTATTGCGTCATCACCTGTGCGCGCACATGCTTGCACATCATACTACGGAAACTTGGAAAGTTTTCCTTTTGTTTGGTGAAGATTCACATCTATCTATGTTTTGTTGCTTTCCTGTGACCGATCAAAAGTGCACCATGACTTTACGGACGCACTCTATAATTCGGCTGAATAAGTGGAAACTTAATTTATATTACGACACGCATTAACATAAAATAACAATGATGTGATATCTTCAACTGTGTCAATATAAATGACATTTTAAGCGTTTAACTGTGTTTCGCTGATGATTATTTTTAGAATACCAAAAACAAATCAAAATCTCTTATGCATCATCGACCTTTAGAGGCGAAATATTACTCTTATGTTTCTGAACATCTGTGAGGTATTTCTCCCGCCTTCTTCGCGTGCCTTCGTAGTGTGGTGGTCTGCACGCTGGGCGCATATTCCAGAGGTCTGTGATTCGATTCCCGGCGAAGGCATTGCTCATTTTTCATCTTGCCTGCTTCCAAAAAAAAAAAAATACCTAATGGCTCTACGCATCTACGGTTGTTCATAAAGCGAAAGGAAAATCAGCTAAAGTCAATAAACCCTCTGACTGGCACTGGCATTTTCTAAGAAAGCTCAAATTCTCCAAAACTGCCTTGAGAAAATGTATTCTTTTATTTTAATGACGAAATGCCTTTGGTACATTATGACTGTACTTATGTATCTTTAATATAATTATTTAGTTTCTTGGACATATTCAAGATGCACGCATATATACTTTCTAAAAGCCTTCCCAAAAACCAGTATTTTGCCAGTTAGAGGGAAGGTATATAACTTGTAGCTTTGTACTAAATAACTCAGTATTGGCCTGCAAACGTTCTGAATTGCGGCGAGATAAGGCATGGATTTTGCTCCACGATACTGCAACTGCCTACGATGCTGTTATTGTTCGTGATGGTGTTACCACGAACTTAAAGCATTCGGCTCTTCAGACTATGTATTCACCTGATATGGCATCATGTGAGGTTTCTTCATTTCGATGGTTAAACTGCTGCTTCGTGATTATTGCTTTGCGTCTAGTGATACAATAAACGAAACCTTTCTGCGAATTCTACAAGCATTTAAAAAAAATCAGCTTTAAAAGATATTTGGAAGATTGAAAATATATTGATATAAGTTTGCTGTAATCAGAGTGGACGATTTTGAAAGAGCTATAAAAATTTTTCGCCAATCAATTTTTGCAGATGCACCCGATTCTAATTCCTAGTTCTTGGACTCATAAAGACAATTTGACGACTTATCGCCTGATTTTAACCTCTAAGTAAAATAACGCCAAATCAAAAGAGGGTTTAAAGTGAAGCTTTTTATTGGTTAGTCAGTCTGACAGTTACACAACTAGCGTTATAACAGATAATCTATATCCGTAGCTTTCGGAGAATAAGACATAAAACTTGCAGGAAAATTGAAATATGAAGTCACAAGATAAAACATTACAAGCTTTGAACTCATGCCGTCAGTTTTCGAGAGCAGTGAAAGCTAGGAAAGCTAAAAACGATTTAAACAGTGAGGAAAGTAATAACGAGGCGGTAACCGTATCTGCCGAGCACACTTTCTCAAACTTAAGATCTCTACACTTTAATAATTTGCATCCTGATGAGAATTGACGGAGAAATTAAAATAAAGGTAAATTAATAACTGATTTATAAATATACAGTCATACAAATTGAAATCTTGTGCTTTAAGGAGCCATTTCCGATACTTTTTATCACAGTAATATATATATATATGTATATATAATATGCATATAAACGATACGCACACACACACATATATATATGCGTGTGGATGTATAATACAAAACACCTCCAAGAAGAAGTACTCTACTTTGTAACAATCTTACAGAACAATCTTATTCCTACAACAGTAATTAAAAAATGCATTAAAAAAGCTGGCATTAACTTTTTCTTTTAGATTTTTTGAGTTAGATAATGAAATTTTATGCTTAAAGCCCTACGGGACGGCGTGAAGTGGATGGCTGATTCAAGAGATCTAAAATATAAATTTAAAATTATTCCTCTCAGAGCTTCAATTTTACTCTTCAAATTTGGCTCAGTACTTCTAATTCTCTTCCTGAATAGATTCTAAGCTTTTTCTGACCATATCTATCCTGTTAATGATTTTATGGGTCTTATTTCGTTTCAAGTAGCTTGATAGCCCTCGAGCTTGAAGAATTCCGACTTTAATTAACAATTTACTATATTTTTTCTAACTTATTCTTGCATTCTATGGCCAATTTTTTAACATTTTGTAGAATTAGCCATTTTTCTTTCACCTACACCCAACTTCCTTACAACTCATCGAGCGAGATCCCATCTTGAACAATTTCTTCATTCTTCAACAAATTGCCACCCCCCGTCACACTGAGTCAGGTTTATGCCAACGGTCAGTCACTTTTCATTGGCTCTTTCACATGACGTTTCTTTCCCTTTTACGTCATCCTGCCTAGTTGGTTGGCTACTTTCTTACCTTTTCTGAAGGCAATCGTCCATTTGAGTGAACATGGGCCGTGCAAGAAGATGTCGCAGTTCCAGGTCTGTTTTTTAAAATTTTTTTCCCTTGTATTAATTTTTGGTCATAGCAAGACCCATTAAATTCTTTTAATTATCTTCTTCGCTTTTTATTTTAATTTTAATTTTTTGTTTTTTAACTTCGTTCACAAAGTTTAAACTCTATAAGCTAGTAGGTCCTCCCTAAAAATCTTGTATTTTTGACTAATAGCAAATCGCTATTTATTTTATTTTGTACCTTTGCCTAACCAGGCCATTATGTATAGTTTTTTCTTACACCTTAACCTGTTTCTTCAAGCGGACGCGTCGGGAAATAGAACAGAGAATTGAGACTAAAGTTTTTGACTAAGATTTTTCAGTTAATATTCAAAAAGAGTTTCGTATACAGTTTCAATTGTCTGTTTCGAGGAAACGCGATATGGAATTAGCTGGATTCGAAAACCATTATAAATTTCTCCTGAAAAGTCGGTAATGAGATCCGAATTAGGTTAATTTATCATTTACTGCTTTTTTGTTTTTGTTTTTGTATTTTAAGTTTTATGTCACACTTTTATTCCATTGTTTAAAGTTTGCCTTCCTTGATGAACATATTACTTACAATTAGATCTGAATTTTATTTGTAAATATTCTAGTGATAATATTGTTTATTTAATGTTTACACTTTCATTGCACTTTATTTCACTTATGTTAAAATGTTTTTCACCGGAACCACAGTAAGCTACTTTTTAGCGGAAGCACTAAGAATATTCTTTTTATCTTGTTTTCTAATTTTTGCAGCTCAATGCGCAAAAGTTCTTGACCACAAAGGTCTTTTTTAGTTTGTTCTCCTTTCTTTAATTATATATATACGTGTATATAAATATACATATACACGAACACAAACGTTGTATGTTTTTGTAAGTCTCACGTATCTACACCTGCTCCGCGAAAATGACAAACAGTTAAAAAAGATCATATAAAATTACAAACAATTTACAACATTGTAAGTTGGTTACGTTTATTTATTTTGCCCGTTTCATTGAATGGTTGACGTCATTTTGTTAAGACACAATCGCAAATCATCTTCAGAATCCGAATGTTCAACAACAGTGTAATTAACGACTTTTCAATTAGATCAAGCGACTTACCCAAACTGTTTAGCGCTTATTTCAAACCGTGAACCGCTGATATGCCTATTATTTCTGACAGTGTTTTAAACATTTATTTTGTATCATATTGAAATCAAGACATTAATAATTATGCTTTTGCCTATAGTGAAAAGAAAGAGTCAACACTTCTAAACATGAATAAAAAAGCTATAAATTATTAATCTTAAGCAGGAAAATATTTTAAAAACCGTAACAAACTCAAAACTGCGGTCCTTGCTTCAAACTGTTACCCGAAGTCTGAAAAAAATATTTTTTTAACGAAACTGAAACTGCCAGCTAACGGTTCTGCGGTTCTTAATGAGGTCAGCTCATGGTTGGTTCTTAAGAAGGCAAACATACTGAGTCGTGGAAACACAACCTAGAAGGTTGTATATCGCACTTTTCTTTTTGTGATACAGTAAACAGCCTTCGGTATTCAGACTTTCACATACTACTTACAATGTAGCGGCAGCTTGACCTTTTTTATAAATAACTCTGCCAAATGTTTATTATAACACTTATGTATTATATAATTGATTGTACCACTTCTGTCCATGTAACTCGTTTATAGTTTTACCTGTATTGTAATTATCTGCTGAACTCACTAATTGTTCATGTTGTGAAAAATCCATTAACAGTATTTAAGTTGTACCTATCCATCTCTAACTCAGTAACCATGTTGGAAGCTAAATTGTTTTCTTTACCGGCATTGTACCCTTCTTCCATACCTAAACCACTGACTTCTGCAGGAGTTGTTTTGCACTTTTCACCACTCGTCGAGATTCGTCTTGCACAAAACACACCAAAAGTGTGTTTTGTTGACTTTTGAAAAGAAGTGTGTTCCATCAGTTTAACCTACTTCTTCGCCAAACATGGATCTGCAGATCTTGCAATGGAAGAATTTTTGTGGCAAGGTTAATTCCTTCAGCGGGGCCACCTGACCAATATGCTAACTACCCAAGTGGTTCGGGTGTTCCGCCGTTGGTGAAAAGAAAGAAAGAAGAAGGTAGAAACTCGATGTTGTTAGCTATATGTAGCTTTGTGAGAGAGATGAATGTGTATGCAGTTCTTTTCTACATGGAACAAAGATCATGTTTCTAATTTGCAAAATATCTTTACAAAATTTAAACCCTTGAGGACTGAGAAAACGTTTTCACTATATTCCCTACGAAGCTTGGTTCACATTTCTGATACCTCCTCACCCGATAAAAACCTGTCAATAATCTTTTGCCTTTATTGATTGAGGCACTTGTTGAACACTCATCCCTCTCATAGGCACAACATGTGATAGGATCGAGTTCCGATTGTACTGTAAGTGTCACGGGGTGATCGGAATATCCATATTCATTTACTGCACTGCCTGAAACACCAAGGAAAAAATCAAACTGTTCGTGTCATATTTGAATACCCTGGCATTTTATTGCTTTCTAAACGACATAAAATATGCAAAACTTTATGTTTAAACAACAGGCAATAGTTCAATATTCAAGTTATTGCGGCAAAATTGCAAACACGCATTAAAAAGAGTTTTAAATTGTCTATCCCGTTACATTTTCTTTTAGACCACATAGGCAATTGCAACAGTCTTGAGCACAGCCCTAAACTAATTACGGCCGTATCTTACGTTTCGGCAATAACTAGAATTTCAGTTTGGTGAAAATATTAGGAGAAAAATGAAGCCAATTTTGTCAGTCACGAATCGGCAGACTTCGAACTGTATAGAGAAAATGTATTGTTTTTTCACTCTCAGTTGTAAGTTTCCGTACGTTCTTATTTTTGTTTCCTTAGACATTGTTATCCTGTATTATTTTAAGATTTACGAAACACTATATTATAGCGAAAAATTTTACAGAAGAAAAAATACATCCTACCGTATTGGAAACGATAGACCAGACATTTTCCCAAACTGCAGATCTAAATCCGATGAAGCTAATTTGGCAAAAGCTTAACGAAAGGAATTCCGGAATAGGATGTGTTTTCGGAAATAACGATATAAATTGCGACGTCAGAATAATAATAATAAATTGTTAAAAATTACGGGCAAGCCTATCAAAACATTGTGCTCTTCAAAGAAAACTATAAAATTATATGTATATAACATCTTCTGTCATCATATTCATCATCTGCCTTTAGCGACTCATCAGCTTTAAGATTTTTATTTCGGCTTATTGTCAGTTTTTTAAAACTTTATTTTATAATTTTTACAAACTATTTAATAAAGCTTCGCTGCTTTAAAATTTTTAGAGTTACAATTCAATTCTGAAATAATATACACTAAATTTTTATTAAAGTTCTTATGCTATTTGACTTGTACCTCATAAGTATACTATCATTTGTACAAACGGACTATAAGCATGTACTAAGACTTTTCCATTTCGCATGATATTTAGCTTGATCTCTTTCCTTTCTTTGTTTTGTCAAATAGAAATTATTTTTGACACCATTCTACCTAACCGGTTTTCCTGAATGTTTGTACATTTCCGCATGTACGACGAAAAGATAATATTCCACAGCGATTCCTTCATAATCTAATGTAGACTATGTATTTAAGTGTGGAATATTTCTTTCATATCCTTGTTTGATCAAGATTTTTCACGGAAGAAAACATAAAATATCAACTGTGACTTTCCCGAGAAATGCTTTGTAATGACAGATGGACATGCTAAGGACTTAATCACTAGAGAACGCGTGGAGAAAAGCGATCATCCCTTACATTCTTCCCCACTTAAAAGATCGAACAAGCAAGGACAGGAGACCCAATCGACCAAAGTGTATATGAACTCTAAGAGCCTGTTAAGGTTTTCGGTGCAAGAAATATGGAAATTCTAACTACCTCACCGGAATTCGAACTGCGGATCTTCCAGTGTTAGAGGGATGTGCTGACCATTCACATCACAAAAGCATGGAACGGAAAGTACGAAAATTACTGACATAATCATAGCAGAATTATAATTTTTGCTACGCCGGATAGATTGAGAAGGCAAATGTAATCTCACAGACAGCAGGTGACAGGTGACAGGTGACGGAGGACGGGGACGCCTGACGTATAACATAGGTAAACAGGCATATGTCCCACGTCCTCCACTATCTCGAAGAAGCAACTCGCTGGAGCCCCGTGAGGCTGCACCAGGAGTTTACATGGCCATACAGGGGCTAGATGTCGGGTAGTTTTTACATAGGACGTTGTTAATAACACAAAGTAACTTAGAAAGAATATAAAGGATAGCATTAAAACACTAAAACACTCATATAAGCTGAAACACATAGATATACAAAATTAAACGTAAAAGCATAAAAACACACTCGTAATTACGTAACATAAAGACATAGAAAACACACACGAAAATACATATCATGACACATAGAATACATATGGAAACACGTAGAGCACATAAATGCAAATATTACACTCAGAGAGGAAACATATAAGACATAGTAAGGTGTGCGTAAAGCAGTAGTAGTGCTGTGCGGAAATATGCTCAGTTCCCATAATACATAATGTACATACTTTCATTAGGGGCTTCTGTTGCATGAATTACATATTTCGTTGCATACACTACATTCGTGCATTGTACGGATATTATATATTTCGATTTACGATAACACATCATTCCATTGGGTGCCCAGTGCTTCACACTGATAAACATGTCAGTAACATTATATCTGCAAGTTGGTGGCTATTGAAAGCAGATGTTAACACGAGGCTCGAAATTGAATGTGGAATGTGTATTACAGAATGTGTACATACTGCGAATATCTAATAGTTGAGTACATTGTCTGCAGTACCATGCTACTGTGGCTCGCAAATGTCTTGCCCTAGGGCGTTGATTTGCTGTACAACTGCGCAGATGCTCCTTATAGCTGGCGGGTGTTTGATTATGAAACGATAGTAAAGTGTTCTATCATTCGTTGGATGTGGTAAGTGGTGGTTTGTTGTTAGACTGCAGTCAAATAGATAGTGCTCGGGAGAACCTAGCATGCCACAGACACAATTGTCAGATGCTGAGATGCCATGACGCATAAAATAAGATGGAAATGGGCCATGACCCGTTATGTACTGTGTCAGTGGGGCTATTGTTATAAGACGTTCCGTGTCTACCTTTGGTAGGAAGTTATACGTCCTTCTCCCTGTGTCGCCACTATTCCATTCTTCTTGCCACTTTTCTTTACAGATGTTACGCAGAGTTTTCTTGAGGTGTGAGACGGGGGTAGGGGCACTTATAGTTTGAGCGTGGATGTTGTTGGCAGCCTCATTAGCCAGTCGGTCTGCGACGTCATTCCCTTCGTTGTCGGAGTGTCCTTTTACCCATACCATGTTAAAGCGGGCTTGATGATTATTGCGTAAAAGTTGCTGTATATCTATGATGATGGGTGAAGTGTGGTGATGATCCCTGAGTGCGTGTAGCACTGACATGCTATCTGTGTAAAAAGTCGCATTGGTAAGGGAAAGGTTGAGGGCATGTCGTAGCGCATTCAATATTGCTAGTGCCTCTGCTTGGAAAATACTATTGCTGTTAGTGAGATGTCCTTTCCATTCCTTTACTAGTGTGCCATGTTCGTAGTGAGCAAACGCGCAGCCCACTCCCTGATCATGTTTTGATCCATCAGTGAACAGTTGTGTAATCGCACAGGAAGTGCGTTGTCTGGAGTGCGATGGCTGATGTTGGATTTTGACATGGATCCCTCTACCTTTGATGGCAGGGTGGATGTGTTGCACACTGCCAGGGAGTTCATAGTCTGTTGTTCTGAACGTAATTCCTGCATATGTGGCTTCTTGTCTGTGATGAGTGATTCGTACATAGGTAGCCTCTGCCTCTGCCTTTATGTGTAATGGCAGCAGGCCTGCAAGTATCGTGGCGGCGCTGGACGCTGTTGTGCGATAACCTCCGCAGATGTTTAATGCAAACGGCCGTTGAATTGTGGTCAGTAGCTTGGTCTTTCGGCTGCTCATTGGTTGTGCCCATATGACTGCTGCGTAGAGAATTATTCTCTCTGCCACTGTCAGATATAATAGTTTCCTGATATGGGGGTTTTGTCCCCAATTTCTCCCTTGAAATTGCCTGGCTTTCCTTGCGATGGTCGATGTTTTTGTACGTATTTCTTGGAGGTGCGGTAACCAGGTGAGTCTTTGATCCCAAGTGACTCCTAGATATTTAATCGTCTTCGTTATTTTTAAGTTCTTGCCCAGTAGCTTTATACATGGACGTCTTGTGGGATTTGTGCCAGGACGTGGAATTACGATGGCTGCGGACTTTTGCCGAGAGATGGTTAACTTAAGTTTATTGCATAGGTCCGTGAATATCGAGCAGGTTTCTGTGGCATTCCGTTCCAGTTCATCTCTTGTGCGGCCAGACACCAGAAGGGCTACATCGTCGGCGTATGCTATAATATCTGTGTGCAAAGGCCATTCATGTTGTAGTATGGAGTTAAAGGTGATTATCCAGAGCAACGGACCGGCGCAAGAGCCTTGTGGACACCCTCTTTCCTGCCGCTTGATAGTGAGGCCATTGTTGTTGGCTACTATGAGGCTACGTGCATGTAGATAGTCCGTGATGATGTTAAAGATGTTTTTGGGACATTGTGCCTCTCTAAGTGCTTGCTTTATAGCAGGCCACCAGAGGGTGTCAAAGGCGCTTTGCAGGTCCAGGGATATGAATGCCGTGTGAAGATTTCTGCCTCTATTTTGTTCTATGCTATCTTTAAGATGACTCAGGGCATGCGTGGTTGACAAGCCAGTTCGGAACCCGTATTGCCGTGGGCTGAGGAAGTTGGTCTGCTCGAGATGGAATTTAAGTCTGTTTACCAGTAATTTTTCATAAATTTTTCCCAGAGACGAAAGTAGGCAAATTGGCCGAAACGAGCTTGGGTCATCTGGGGATCTCTGCTTCTTCAGGAACAGGACCACTTCTCCTTTTTTGAAAGCAGTTGGGAAGATCTGGTATTTTAAGAGCTTGCTGAAATATTTCTCGAAGAAGGTAGGGCGGGATGTGTAAGCCACCTTTATTATAGCATAGTCTAGACCGTCTGGTCCCGGAGCCTTTTTTATGGGAAGAAAACGGAAGATTTGCTGTATTTCAGCTGAGTCGAAGGGAATGTCGTCTGGTGTGTTAGGAATGGAATGGTTGTCCCGTATCTTCTGTTGTTCTGTTGAATCATCATCCGGGTTATCTGCTGGGAAAACTGCATTAAGGATAGCAGATGCTGTGGTTTCTGCAAGATTGGTGGTGTCTGAGTTATTGGCTGCTTGGGCATAAAGCTGGTCAGGCTTGTAAACTTTATTTGTAGCTAGTTTATGCAGGATTCCATAGACGTTGGTATTAGCTGTGCAAAATTTCCGCCAGCTATTGACTTTGGCTCGTAGTATGCATTTTTTATAATGCGCCCTTTCCCTGCGGAATGTGGTCAGCAATGCCATTTTGGTGGCTTCGTCCATTACACCTCGGAGACGCCGTCTTAGGGCTCTGCACTTTTGCCGTAATTGGCGTAGTTTCTTTAGTCCACCAGCATATGCCTTGTATGCGTTTAGCAGTGCGAGTCTTCAGGAGCTTGTCGCAAATACATCGCAATGTATTGAGGAGATGATCTGTATAAGTGTCTAATCCCTCTGGGCTATTTATTTGGTCTATTACTTCTTCTTCACTCTGTAGGGTATCCGAGAAAGCCTTTGTTAATGCACGCAGTTTATTGCCTGGGATCTTGTAGCGCTTAAGGATAGTGATGCTTGTGTCGGTATTAATTGCAAAGTGGATATATTTATGATCAGAGCAACTCTCGTCGTCTATGACCCTCCAATCTGTTATATTGTTGGCTATGTTACTTGTAGCTATTGTTAAATCAGGCCATCCTTTGTTGTATGAGTTGTCGAACGTCGGTGGGGCGTTCTGAGTATTTATTAACTGTAGATTGGCTGTCATTATAAATTCTTCTAACGCTGTTCCTTTCGGTGAGGTATTTGGGTATCCCCAAATGACGTTGTGCGCATTTAGGTCTCCACTTATTACGTGAGGAATGGTAGTATGTTTTCTGTGTATTTCTGCTATACTATCTACTGCATTGCTGATGTCTTCTGGTGGAGAGCTGTAGACGGATGATAGGATAATCTGGGAGTTATTATAATTCAGAAGAATTGCAACATGATCTCGTGCCTGCTTGATAATGAGTGGGGACCATTGTGGATTACAACAAATGATCGCCGCTCTCGGGGGTAGTTCGTTAAGTTGCGCTTTCCGCTGGAAGATCTTCCATGAGAGTGGTAGGCAGGCTATTGCGCCGTTTCTGCAGTAAGGCTCTTGGAGAAGGATGATATCTATCTCATGATCGAGGACATGCTGCACTAGCTGCGTATTAGCTGCTTCTGCCCGTTAAGGATTAATTTGCGTGCATTTTATGGAGCCTGCTGAGGAATGAGTTAGAATCAGGTTGGCTGGGTTGTCGATATTTGTCGGTAGGATCTCTTGTGAGATAGTGTTGCTATCTTCAGACGCATTAGGTAGTAACATGGCATTGGTAGGCTGCTGAGATGTTATAGCTTCAGTATTGTGTGTTGCAGCGTGTGTTGTAGACGGCTCTCTGGTACATCGGGCATTCCGGGTGGTATGCCGGATGTTCAAAGTAGTAGGAGGTGCCGTTGCGGGTAGTTACAGTCCCCGCAATTGATACAGGCTGGTGACTCTGCTTGACAGACTTTGGTGTTGTGCGACCCAGCGCAGAAGGCACAGAACTGTTTCTTGCTGCGGCAGAGATCCTGGGAGTGCCCGAATTGCTGGCATCTATAACATCTACGGATTCCCAAGAACTCCGTGATAGTATGAGCCTGCCATGCTGTGAACAGACGTCTGATGTTGATGGCGATTCCAAAGCTCTCCGTGGTACACTCGAGAACCCATTTGACTCTGTTTGCTCGGCGCTCTTTAAGTCGGAACAGGGGTTTGTATACTCTTGCTGATAGACCTGCTGTTGCGCTGAGCTCTGCGATGAGCTGTTCTGGTTTAACATGTTCTGGAACATTATGGATGGCTATTCTCGGCTGCCTCTTTTGCCTGAGACGAACCTCTGCCTGGACCTCAGCTTTTTTGATGTGCTCCTGTAACTTGAGTACCTCCTCGTTTGTATTACAAAAAACTTCTAGTCCGCCTTTTGGAGCCGGTTTGATAGCGTTGACGACAACTGGGATCTCACTAAGTGGAACCTTTTGCTGTAACTGTGTTCTTAGATCACGTGGATGGATACTCCCTAAAGGGTTGATGATCAGACTGGGTTTACTGAACTGTTTAAGCACTGCCGCAAAGGTTGGTTTCTGGGGCACAATCGCTGATGGTGTTGTCGCTGACTTCAAGTGGCTATGCCTTTCCCCGGTGTTCCTGGGAGCCTGCGTAGTTGCTGTTACTGGCAGGGAGTCCGTGTTTGTACTTGAAGTAACCACCTCAGGGTAAGGGGTGTTAGTGCTAGTGGTACAGCGCGAGATTACAGAAGTGTTCACGTCTTTGTTGACTACCTCTGTTCCACGTAATGCGATGTCCCGAAAGATCTCTAGAGTGGCTATGAGGCGTGGTAATATATTTTTATTACCTCGAACTGTATTGGCTATTTGTACGCTCTCGTCGAAGACCGCTTTTATTTTTTCTCTATATGAGAAGTCAGTTGAAACTAAGTGATTTGGCAAATCTAGATCACTGCAGTGTGTGGAGGTACGCATTTCAGACATACTGCATTGAGTCTATTGTATGAAATCACTAATGATAAATAAAAAAAAAATATTCTGCTATTCCGCAGATTCACTAATTGCTATTGGAATCTTTAAAATTATGCACTAAGTCTCTAATTTCACTGTGTAGACTATCTCACTGAATGCTGTAGAAATCTCTATATTATGGCAATTAGAGGCACTATACTGAGCACTAAATTGTGGCACTATAACAAGGAACTATCTTAAGGCACTGTAATCTCTATATTAAAGCACTGCTGTTGAAGTCTTATATTAGGAAGCTGTTGAGATCTCTATATTAAGGCACTGAGTCTCTAATTCACTGAATACACTAAATCACAAAGCCACTGCGTAACTGTAGTTCACTTGAGCAGTGCTTAAAATTGAGCCCGCAGGAAGAATTACAATGTAAAGTGCACACAAATTATCACTTGCGCAGAACTTGAAACTGAGCACGTAGTGAGAGTTACAGTACACAACACAGCAAATGTGTGATGGAAATAATTAATTATTAATGCACAAAAGTTTCAGTAAGCACAATAAATAGCAGTACACATGATATTTTGTAAGTATACACATATATTTAAGTGATAAACACGTAAACCGAGAGGTTGTAGTGGTATGCCAGAGGCCCGAAGAATGTTAATAAGTCAAAGATAGCAAAGAGAAGAGATGAGTGATGAAAAATGGGGGAGAATGTAAGGAATAGCTGAAACGTGAACAGAAGGAGAATTGCAAGTGCAGAAAGAGTAGTAATAGGAGAGCCTGGACCTTAAAGAGGTTGCGGGTTTACAACAGGAAGAATGTGGAGGTGTTTCCACTAGAGGAAACTGTTAAAAAAAAAATTCTAAAAAATACAAGTGTATAGTTGCAAAAATTGCTCGGAAAAAAAAGGATTAATTAAAATATAAAAAAAAAAAAGTGAGGAGGGGGTGGAGTGGAAAGAAAGAGGGGGTCAGCAAAGCAAAAAAAAAAAAAAAAGAAGGTAAAGTGTCAAGAGGGGAAAATGAAAAGAGGGCGCTATCTAATGTAGTTAAGGAGAAAACTTAGAAATTAAAAGGGAATAACAGGATAACAAGGGGATGAAAAGAAGAGTTTGAGGCCGCTAAGTTACATAGAAGCGAAGTTATCAGAGAAATAAAAAGAAGGGGAAGTCAGTTAAAGGGGGAAAGGAAGAGGGGAAAAGGCTTGAAGACAGCTTAACTAGAAAGTCATAGAGGAAATAAAATTAATGTTGGATTGAGAACTTATACTACCTGTAACTTAAACCCACAAAATACAGACATTTTAGTAGGAGAGAGAGAGAGAGGAAAAAAAAAAAAAAAAGTTAGAAAGTACAAACACAAAATTATTAAATTTATATCAATAGTCAGTAATTTGTACATAATACAATCAGTAAATTTCATTAATCAATAAATTTACATCTATAAAGTATAAAAAGATTGTAACATAAACATGAATGGGCGAATAAATGACAAAGTTGAAGTTCGAAACATAAACAAAGCCGCGCGGTAAAAAGTTCTAAGGTCACAGGTGTCAACAGGTTCTGTGCCAAGCGCGCATGCGCTTTGTAGGTGGAGGGGAAAGGTCGTTGTTAATATGCTAACCCTGAGGGGCTTCTTGAGAAAAAAACAACAACCTTGCAACCCCTGCGTCGAAAAATTCGACTTGGAAGAAGTTAGTAGGGGGGAACACGAGTTACGGATTATAAAAATAACACAAAAGTGTGCATAGCAGATGAACTAATAAACATAAATTCAAAGCAAGGGTACCGAAATAAAGAGTACAAGAAGACCTACTTTGCCGAGGATAAATGATGATGATATTCCAAATAGAAGCCAAGATATCCTAGACGAAATCCGCAAAAATGACACTTTATGGACTCTAATTAAAATAATTATAACTCTGCTTAAACACACACCACAAACACAATTCTTGCACCGTTAGAAAGCGGAATGCGCCAGCTTTCTCCAGATATCTGTATTGAGAACAGAAGGCAATTTGGTCGCGAGTAATCACTTAACAACGACGGAGCATAAAGCAGCACTTCATTTTCTTTTTCCGGTTCTTCATTCAAAAACATAGGCTCATGCGTTGACAATGGATGAGAATTTAAAAATTTCAATAACTCTGGAATTATAAGACGTAGGAACACAAATCAAGCATCACAATTTGTAGCTTGTTGAGACCTTTACGATGTTACTAACTTTGTAGACACACGACAAATATTACCGCGGTTATAACTCGTTCAACGAGGAGCTCCTAACACACTGCTGCAGCGTTGTCACGGAGGACATACGGCACTCAAATATTATTAGGAAGGAGAACAAACTAAAAAAGACTCTCACAGACAGCAATAATGCTTAACGATAGAAATATAATTATTATTATTAATAGAAAATATTATTATATTAATAGAAAAATAATGATAATAATAATTGGCAGGCAATTTGATTTTTATTATTTCTGATAAAACTTTATTGACATATTGTTACGAAATACCCAGCTGCAGTAAGATAGCTTCCGCACAAAGCGAGTTTAGGGTTGCCAGAAATTAGAAAGGAAAGGCAGGGTTGCCAGGTTTGGCGCGAAATCGTCCATTTGGCAACAAAATTTGCGATATGCCATAGACGGAGCTAGAACATTCTAGAACGAATTCTTAGAGGTTTCCTCGAGAATGCTCTGGAAGCTATATATACCCTTGCCTGTACGCGGAGTATCTTGAATATTGAGAGTATGTTCACTTCAGTAGTATTGCTTTGCGTTCAACTATCAGCTTGAGAGCCACCAAACCATGTCGAGAGCTGTACTTTAGTGCTTTGCCGTAAAGCTGTCTTCACCTTTATAGCCGGAAGGCTGTGTTACTGATTGTTTCTGCGTGTTTGTCAGAGTTTTTCGACGACTGTAACCCTTCTTTGAAGTGTGGGATCAAATAGCTTCATTAAGTTTTAAACAAAAATTTAATTGAGTTAGTAAATAAAGAAAATTGATTTACTAGAGAAATGCTATTTATGTAATACAAGTCGTAATTAATTTATTACATTTTTAAGTTGCAAACAAAAAACTTAAATCATTAATATACATATAATTTTAATAAATATCATAAGGTATTTCTCCCGCCTTCTTAGCGAACCTTCGTGGTGTAGTAGTCTGCACTCTCAGAGCGTAATTGAGAGGTCCGCAGTTCGATTCCCAGCGAACGCGTTGCAAATTTTTCATCTTTCTTGCTTCCAAAAAAATACCTAAAGTTTCTACAGTGGCGCCCGAACTCAAAGGGTTATGGATGATGTTTCTCCTCACCCAGGATTTGGCGATTGGGTGCCCTAAAAACCCCAGTCGCCCTTTAAAAGGGGGAGTATAAAAGGTATTTCTCCCGCCTTCTTAGCGAGCCTTCGTGCTGTAGTGGTCTGCACACTCAACGCGCAATTGAGAGGCTGGCCTTCCCGGCGAAGGCGTTGCATATTTTTCATTTTTTCATCTTTCCTGCTTCCAAAAAAATACCTAATATCTCTACAATATGAATTAGCACATTTATAAGATAAATTTGTATAGATAAAAAAATAACTTACAATGATCATGTATTGCTAGTTCTTGCAAAAATGTATAACATTAAATATTTTATCTGATTTCAAATCAATCTTCTGATTGATTTTGGTACATTTTTCCCTCAGGGTTCAAATATCCATTTTTATCAAACATCCTCAAATATCTCCTTATCTTATTAATACTTGTTATTTCATGTTTACGTTAGTAATAACGTTTCATTTTTTGATGTTTGCAAGAATCTTTAGTCGATTTCAACTATTTCTTAGTTGACTTAGTTACATTTTAGCCGTACTGATGAAACTGTGCCAAAACGTAACCGAACATGAAATTTAAAATTTAATTGAAGAATTCAGGTATTAAATTAGAAGCTGAAGCATTTTATTAATATTTAAAATTGAGTAGCATTCCCAAAATGATACATTACAGACTACAAAACATTTTATGTGTTTATATCCAAGAAATTTACTAAATTGCAGGAAATATATTTTTGTTTCTAACACGCAATTTGTATTAATTAATCTAAAATAAATTTTGGTTTATCCATAACTAGTAAGGATCTCTTTTCTTTTGTCATTCATTGCAGTCAGAATACCATCTATTGGTGTCGTGAAAAATGCCTGCCAAATCAATGAATATGAAACAGATTTGAAGTATTTTATGAGGACATTAACTGCTTAGCTAACAGAGACGTCCATAATCTAAATTAATGAAAACATTAACTTTATAGATTTTTATTGAATGAAAGGTTCACATGCATATTGTCAAATTGCCAATAAATGCTTTCTCAGATTCATTGCTCTCTAAAACTATTTCCATTGGTCGTAAATTCTCTGTAATGCATTTTCTATCATCTTAGTGTTGGCGTTTCTTTTATGATAGCTGGCTTCTGTTTTCTAATATATATGAGAGAATTTGACGGAAGCTGCTGCAATGCACTGTATTATGAACTGAATCTGAATGCAGTTATTTCACCTTTCCGCAGGACGAATTTCTGTGATATTTTTAAATTTTGAGGAATTTTTTAAAGATAATATTATATTTCATTTTGTGATATTTGAATAAATCCGCGAATTTCGCAATTTTTTGCGTTATTTTTAATATATATTAAAACTATTAGATTATATTTAAACAATTTTTGTGCTACATCGTCTTTAAAATTTCCGCAAAAATGTACTGCAAAATTATCTGATTCCAAAATATATTCTATAACACTGAACTACGATAAGTTTTGCTAGGTTCTGAATTGCCCAGAAAAGACATTTTCTGAAGCTACATGAAGTAGAATTCC